TGACACCACAGCACTCTACCGAGGGCAACAAAGTGAGACTCTGTCTCTGAAAAAAAAAGAGAAAGAAAAAAATTAAATACTGATAAAAAAAAAAAAAGGCTAGGTTCCAACTATTGTTGGTCCCAATTGGGTCCTCATGAGGAGGGTTCTGGTGATGCAGTGACAGGCCTTATCCAGCATCCCTGCAGCTGCCTGTGCCAATCAGCTTAACGATGCCGTGACTTATCATGTGGCTCCAGTGCGGTCAGATGGGTCATACTACCACGCAATTTGGTCCAAAAAATTCAGCAGGGAATGGAGAGGCAGAGTTGGCCACTCAGAGGAGTTGACAGGAAAATGTGTTCTTGGCAGAAATGCATAGGAGTGTGGAAGTCCATGGTTTGCAAGGGCAATGTTGAGGGGCTCAGGGCAGCTGGAGCACAGGGGAGCTTCTGGTTGGAGGGGAGCACAGGGGAGCTTCTGGTTGCAAGGCCAATGTTGAGGAGCTCAGGGCAGCTGGAGGACAGAGGAGCTTCTGGCTGGAGGGAAAGGATCTGGCCAGACTCTGGAGCTTGTTAAGTATGGTAATAACAAAAGCCACAATGTACCATGGGTTTGCTATTTATTCTTCTTGATAACCCTGGGAGTCATGAGTTACTGGCCCTATTTTATGGATAAGGGAAGGGGGCTTCGTGGAAGTGAAAGGACTTTGTGATAGTTACACAACTCCCTCCCCCAGCTTCTGAGCTGTTTCTGCCCTCCGCTTGGGATAAAGGCCAGGCAGTCAGGTAGTTTCTGCCTTCCTTCCTCTGCTCCTCTGTCTTAGTAACACACCAGGATCTGCCAGCCAGCTCCCATACCTCTGCTCAGAAAAAAACTGACTCATCAGGGTAGAAAAAATTAGTATCTCTTCCTGGGGTAAAATTAAGAGCCACTCTAGGGTCTTCTCACACTGAGCCCTTGTGGATGGGCTGCTGCATTTCCTAACTGCATGAAGTGCCACTCACACTGGTATGTGGGTGTCTCCCGGAGTGGTGCAGTGCACAGCCTGGGCAGCTGCCCTGGACAGCAATGGGGCCTGGATCCACAGCTGCCTCTCACATTCATTTTCAGGCTATAAGATGCACCAGGAAGAAGAGGATGCTTCTTTGGGCTTCTGACAAAGTCCTTCAGGTCCAAGGAGCTGTGTCTGAGACTAAGGCTTAATGAGTAGCCCAGGATTCCCAGTGTCAAAAACCTAAAGTTGTGGGCGGCACCTGTGGCTCAAGGAGTAGGGCACCGGCTCCATATACCAGAGGTGGTGGGTTCAAACCTGGCCCAGGCCAAAAACTTGAAAAACAAAAACAAAAAAACCCCCTAAAGCTGGGCCAGGCACACTGGCTCATGCCTGTAATCCTAGCACTCTGGAAGCTGAGGTGGACGGATTGCTTGAGCTCAGGAGCTCAAGACTAGGTTGAGCAAAAGCGAGACCCCATCTCTATAAAAGAATAGAAAAACTAGCCAGGCATTGTGGTGAGCACCTGTAGTCCCAGCTACTTGGGAGACTGAAGCCAGAGGATCACTTGAGCCTAAGAGATTGAAGTTGCTGTGAACTCTGATGACACCACGGCACTCTATCCAGGGTGACAGAGTGAGACTCTGTCTCAAAAACAAAGCAAAACAGGCTCGGCGCCTATAGCTCAATCGGCTAAGGCGCAAGCCACGTACACCTAAGGTGGCGGGTTCGAATCCCCAGCCCGGACCTGCCAAACAACAATGACGGCTGGGCGTTGTGGCGGGTGCCTGTGGTCCCAGCTACTTGGGAGGCGGAGGCAGGAGACTCGCTTGAGCCCAGGAGTTGGAGGTTGCTGTGAGCTGTAATGCCACAGCACTCTACCCAGGGGGACAGCTTGAGGCTCTGTCTCAAAAAAACAAAACAAAACAAAAAACAAACCTAGTTACATGAGAATCCCATCCTAACATCACTTCTCTTTTTTTTTTGAGACAGAGCCTCAAACTGTCCCCCTGGGTAGAGTGCCATGGCATTACAGCTCACAGCAACCTCCAACTCCTGGGTTCAAGTGAGTCTCCTGCCTCAGCTTCCCAAGTAACTGGGACCACAGGTGCTCGCCATAACGCCTGGCTATTTTTTTTTTTTTTCTTTTTTGGTTGCAGCTGTCATTGTTGTTTGGCGGGCCCGGGTCGGATTCAAACCTGCCACCTTAGGTGTATGTGGCTGGCGCCTTAGCCACTTGAGCCACAGGCGCCAAGCCCTAACATCACTTCTCAATGTGAACTCCACCAGTGACCTCCTTGTCCCACAACTCTTGCTGTTTAACCTGACCTTAAATCCCCTGTGTCACTGGGGATCCCTGGACATCGGGGATTATGTGTTTTCTGGAGCCCTTAGGTTCCTCAAAGATGTCTCTGTGTGGCCACACAGGTGAGGCAGATGGGGGAAGGTAGGTTCTGCTCTTACAAGGTTTACATTTTGAATTTCTGAAAATTTTGTTCAAAGGGATTCATTTCCTAGCTCTTATTTATTTTTAATGCAGTTTGAAATTTACTGTCCTAGATTAACCTAGCCTGGATTCTACCCAACCCTGCCTGGCAACCGGGTGGCCTGGTAGCAGGGCAGTGGGATAGGGAAGCTGAGATCCAAGGGGATCTCTCCAGGAGAGTCAGATTTCAGGAGGGAAAGGTCTAGGTGAGGAAAGGCTGGGAAAGGTAAGAAGGGGGTGGAGGTGGGGATGTACTGTCTGCAATCAGAATGGGGCTTCCTGCCCCCAAGCCTGCTTCTGGCCACTGGGATCTCACCTGCACAGTTTTCCTTGCTTCAAACTATCTGAATTCACAGCTGGTGGGGGCAGTGGCTCACACCTGTAATCCCAGCACTCTGGGATGCCGAGGCAGGTGGAT